CTGTTTTAGGGCTGTCCTAATTTATTTAATTAGTTCATGCTTTGATTAGTTTGCTTGTTGTGTTGTAAGTTCTCATATTTAGCTTGATATGTTGTGTTACCAATGCTTTGATAGCTTTTCTTTGGTTAATTTTCATATCATGAGTCTCATTCTAATAATCAAATTCATGTGTTCATTTCTGCAATCTCTCTCTTTTCTTTTTTTCTTTTGTTTGAGAGTTATTTCAACCGATTGATGGTTATTCAAAGCATGAAAAGGAGACCTATGCTTAATGGCTTAATATCTACCGAGGTTCATCGTCAACGGTATGGTCTCTCTTTCATGCTTAGGATCACCTCTCGTTTGATGTTTCTTCTCGTTTAGTGGACTTAATTATCACTTTGGACAAATGGACTAAAGAATTGAATGAACTAAGAAAATTGCTAAAATGAAAAAACCAATGTAAAGAAAATGGATTATATTGCTTGGGCTCGGCCGGACGTTATGTCGAGTCTATTGTGTCAAGAGTTGTCACTCGTCAATCTGTGGTGCTTTGATGACCCTTGAAGCATCTTTACTTCTCCCTTTGAGCTCACTCCATGATATAGGGAAGGGGTGGTTATTATTCATTGCATTCATTGAATTTTGTCCAAATTGTCGTCGAAATCATCAAGCAAGCAAATTGCTCATTGATGGTTTTGGAAACGACTCCATCCTTCTCTTAAGGCTTTCCATGACAGAGAAGTGTGAAAGGGACAAACAGAGCTCAAAAAATTGTGTCTGTACTGTTTTCACCTCAAAACACAAAAACAGAGTTTTGTATAAAAATTAGGGCACGGTCGGCCCTATTTAGGCCCGGCCGAGCTTCACTGGGGGTCGGCCGGCCATCAATGTTTGGTAAGGCAGTGTGTTTTTGCAAAAGCAGAGGGCAGTGACTGAAGGTGAAACATGACAGATTCCAAGGAAGGCAAACAAAATTACTTCTGAAATCGCTACGAGCATGCCATCCTTGTGCTTCTATTGTAAATTATAAATTAATGATCTCAATATTGTTGTAATTATTATCATCGTAATTAATATTGTTGTAGTAATGATTCGTTAGATAGTTAGCTTATTTTGTTGTAATAAATTAGCTAGTTAGTTTATTATGGCTTAGCTAGTTAGTTATTTATTCATTCACTTGGCTTCGTAATAATTAGTTTCAAGCCGGACATTTGCATACTCATTTGGACCCTTTTGTATAAGGGCCAACATGTAATAAGTTATATGTCTTCCAACCCCACGTCTTTCTCCCTTTTACTTATTTGCTTACGATGGTTAGCCATAGAACATCATTTTTCAAATTAGTATTTTTATGATTCACATCCATCGTCTTGCACGCATTAGGGTTCGACTCATCATACTAACCCAATGTCAAAATCCAAATTCATTTGCTTAAATTCTTTGAATACGTGCTTAGACTGCAAGCTATCAAATTGATTCAAATACCATATTAGTAGTTGAGCCCATTAATTGCATTTTGTATGTGTTGCATTAGTCATTTTGCATTAGTTAGAGACATGCATGTTTTCTAATTATTTTTCTTTGTTTTGGCTTGGAGTATTAGGTGAGCATTTAATTGCTTTAGCATATTGCATGTGTGTGATTATTGCCATATCAAAGCATGATTCCCTAAGGCTAAGTGCTTAAATGATACATTTGTTTGAATGCTAGTGAATGAAGGCTAATTACCAAAATTGGGATAAATTAACTAATATATTTACAAACTTGCTTTTTCGAGTGACGCGTATTCAAAACAAACATGAAATCAAAGTATTCTAATTTTTGCAAGTTAGTCTATACTTGTGTGAAACACATAGTAATGTTAGCCTAATAATCGAAACAAGAGCATATAATGTAAATAAAAATCACATGATTAGTAGATGCCAATCTTTGATCGGGTGAGTGGGGTGCTCAATTCATGACCTTCCTCTCTCGTACCTAAGTTCTCGAGCCGAGACACTTTGGTGATGACGAATATGTGGCCTTTGGCACGAGTCTCAGGTTTCCTAAATTTTTCAAAAATATTTAGGTGGCGACTCTGTAATCTGGCAAAGCAGTCCATTTTTTGACATTTTTTATTCAAAATCGATTTTTCAAAAGAATTGTTGGATTTGGACTCTTTTGTGTTTTTTTATTTCACATTGTACTTGTGAAATTAGATTCAGAACCACGAGAGTCCGAACTGTAGGGCTAGTCGTATCCAAAAGAAGCGCGAAAAGCAAGCTACAATATTGTGTTAAAATAGTATAATGTTATTTCTTGTGTCAAATTTGACACAAGATATAATACAGTGCTAGTAGTATATTATATGTTATGTTAACATAGCGTATTATTATTTGGGTAAATTACACTTTACACTCTTGTATTTTGTATCAAATTTCACTTTGGTTCCTACAAGTAAAATCATGACAATCCAAAAGCATATCTGATCACTGCCCAGTTCTGCTAATGGAGGATGAAAGGGATTGGGGGCCAAAACCTTTTTGGTTTATTAATGCATGGACACTTCACCCAAAATTCAAGACAGAGGTGAAGAAATCTTGGGAGGAGTCTTAGACTATGGGATGGGCTAGCTTTAGAATCATGTGTAAATTGAGGATCTTGAGGGAACACTTGAGAAGGTGGAATAAGGAGGTATTTGAGAATATTGATGATCGACTCAAGAAAGCTAAAGATGAATTGCATGAATGGGATTTGAAAGTTGAATCCAGATCTCTGTTGGAGACAGAATTGAAAAGAAAACGAAAGATTAGAAGTCAAGTGTGTGGTTGCAAAAATCAAGACTGACATGGGCATAGAATGGTGATAAAATACTCGATTGTTCCACTTGATGGCAAGTAGAAGACAGAGGAAAAACTTATTAGGCTCTGTAAAGGTGAATGGAGTGGTGTTTGAAAATCCAACTATGGTAAGGCAAGTGGTTGTGAATCACTTTAGCCTAGTGTTTACTGAAAATTGGAAGTTTAGGCCTAAATTGTCAGGTCTCTTTCTATCCATTAGTCCAGTTGATGCAAAGGATGTTTTGGAGGCTGAGTTTAGTAAGGCAGAAATTTGGGCAGCTATTCGAGATTGTGATGGAAATAAGGCCCCAGGGCCCGATGGGTTCAATCTGTCTTGTATTCAAAAATGCTGGTCTATAATGAAAGGTGAGTTTCTTTAGTTTTTCAAGGAGTTTCACAGTAATGGGAAGATGGCTAAAGCGGTCAATAGCTCTTGTATCACTTTGATTCATAAAAAAGAGAACCCCAAAGATTTGAGTGAGTATAGACCTATTTGTTTGGTTAACGCAGTGTACAAAGTGCTAGCTAAAGTGCTATCTAGACAGCTAAGACAAGTGTTACCTCAACTCATAAGAGAAGTTCCAACTGCTTTTCTTGGTGGGAGATGTATTCTTGATGGTGTTCTATTTTCTAATGAAGTGGTGGACTGGTGGAGGAAAACAAAGAAAACAGGAATCATCCTTAAATAGGATTTTGAGAAGGCTTATGATTTAGTGAATTGGGAGTTTCTGTTATCAATGCTGTTTAATCTTGGTTTTGGAGAGAAATGGGTGGTGTAACAGCCCGAAAATTTAAGTTGTCGCTTAAATTTTATATTAGTATTAGTTAATTATAAATGATTTCAAAAAAATAATTTTAACTTTATATTATTATTCAATATTATCTTCTGGGTATTATGATATTTTTATTATATTTTTCTCTATATTTTTCCTAAATCAAAATACACTGAACTGTAACATTTTATGTACAACAAGGAAGCGTGCCCCCCAATTCACTTGCTGACCACGCCTTCTCCCCTATATATAGGGATGTTCACCGTATGCATCATCCATCATCACCAATTCCAAGCTCTTTTATTCTCTCTCTCTCTCTCTCTCTCTACCCTTTAGTGGCTTTTTTTTTATATATATAAAACTTTGAGTTTAGTTTGGAGCATTTAGTAGGTCACAGTGAACGAAAGGTAAAAGTTGGAATTAATCTTAAGGTGAGTTATATTATACCTTGAGTCACCATCATATATTTTACGTATGTTTTGAGTTACCATAATTTATTTTACGCAATTTGTGTTTTATAAATTATATTAGCATTTTGAATTTATGAACCTTATTTTATATAATAAGAAAAACCCATGGATATAACTGTTTATGAATCTTATTTTATATAATCACTTTGTAACCTTCTGTTTGTTATGGATCAATTAACACTTTGATTTCTGGTATGGAGCAAAGTGTTGTACAGAGTTAAGTGCTACACTATTGTGGTAGTCACCTCTAGAGTTCGTACGAGCCACCTTTTGAGGCCATACATCTGTTTTGTTCTGTAATGTGGTTATCATTATTCTGTGTATATGATTTCTGTATTATATGTCAAATGATCTTTGTATTATATAATCTGTATTTTAATATCAAGCTATGTTTAGCCAATAATTATCCATGATGATTTTATGACCTTATGCTCTTAGTATAATATTTGTCACTCTGCCATGTGCTTATAGCTGTTACCAATTTTCAGGAAGCAATGTAATTCAAAAATAGCTTTTGGAGAGTCTTAGACGCGGGGCTGCGGAATAAACACACATAGCACTTTCATAGTATTTATAATTCTATTATTCATATGTAAATATCAACCTTTTTCGTTAATAAATTTTGTTATAAAAATAGAAACTCTGATGATTATTTTGGAACCCTTACTTAAATATTTTTCCGCTCGCATTTAGTAATTTGTTTAAAAATTGGCCGGAGGTAACTTCAGTTACTGGTCATCACGATGCTTAACCCTTGGGTACGGGGAGCGGGTCGTGACAGGTGGGGTGGATTAAGTCATGTATTTCTACATCAAGGATATCAATGCTTGTTAATGGGTCACCTATTGAAGAATTTTCTCCTCAAAAGGGGGTTAAGGTAAGGTGATCCACTCTCACCTTTCCTCTTCAATATTGTAGTTGAAGGGTTAAATCTCTTATTAGAGAGAGCAAAAGAAATGGGGCTGATACAAGGACCTTCAGTTGGATCGAATGAGTTGAAGATTTCTCATTTACAATTTGCGAATGGCATTATCATTTTTTGCGAAGCTGAATGGGAGGAAATTATTATGATTAAACGAATACTAAGGTGCTTTGTAGTAATGTCAGGTTTAAAGATTAATTTCCACAAAAGTACTGTTTGTGGGATTGGTGTGGAAGAGAGGAGGGTTATGAAGTTCGCCACAAAACTCAATTGTCTTAGTCAGAGATTACCACTTACCTATCTTGGTCTACCATTAGGTGCAAATCCAAGGAGTAGAAGTACATGGCAAACTGTGGTGGAAAAGTGTAAGAAGAAACTAGCATCGTGGAAGAAGAGGTTCTTGTCCTTTGATGGTCGTTTGACCCTAATTAGATCGGTTTTGTCAAGCATTCCTTTGTTCTTTCTTTCATTATTTAAAATGGTAGTGGGAGTTGCCAAAACCATTGATAAGATTCAGTCTAGCTTCTTGTGGGGAGATTCTGAGACTAGTAGGAAAATTCATTTGGTAAATTGGAAGGAGGTGTATAGAGGAAAATCCCAAAGAGGATTAGCTGTAAGAAACCTGATTGATGTTAATGTATGTTTATTATTAAAATGGTGGTGGAGGTATGGTAGAGAGCAGAAGTCATTATGGAAAAGGGTGATGTGTAGCAAATATGGGGATTTGGGGGAAGGTAGATACCTAAAATAGTGGAATCTGCTATGGTGTTTGCAGTGTGGAAGGGGATTGTATCCTCTGTTGTATCAAATACTGCTGTAGCTGAGGTGTTTGAACAAAACTTCAAACTTATCATTGGAAATGGGAAAAGGATACAGTTTTGGAATGATAGGTGGTTGTGGCTCGGCTTTTTCGCGCCCCCCTTTCAGAAGCTCGTAAAGAAGCCCTACAGTTCGGACTCCTATGGTTTTGAATTTAATTTCACAAGTGCAATGTGAAACTAATAAAGATCAAAGAGTCCAAATCCGGCAAATCGTTTTGAAAAATTGATTTTAGGATAAAAAAATGCCAAAATTTGACTGCTTTGCCAGATACAGAGTCGCCACCTAAATATTTTATTTTGAAAAAATTTAGGAAACCCATGACTCGTGCCAAAGGCCATGTGTCCGTCATCATCAAATTTACCTCGGCTTGGGAAATTAGGTACGAGAGGGGAAGGTCATGAATCGAGCACCCCCGCTCGCCCGATCAAAGATCGACCTCTACTAATCATGATATTATTTTTTATAAACATTATGTGCTCTTATTCCGATTACTAAACTAGCTTTACTATGTGATGTGCATAAGCAAGTATAGACTACTTTGCTTAATTTGGAACAATTCAACTCATGTTTGTTTGTGAAAATGGTTTGAATTTGCCACCTCAAGTAGGCTTAAAAGTTTGCAGATTTTGCCACCAAACATAGTGGGCTTAAAACATGATTTGCCACTCAACAAAGTGGGCTTAAAACTTACATTCGTTGAATCATTCCAATTCAAACAACGAGCCTTCATCTATAGGCACTCAAGCAGTTTAGAAATTAAGCACATAGCCTAATGGCAAGCATGCTAATCATGGCAACCATGCTAATCATGGCAACATTCACATTCATGCAAGTATACTAAAGCGTAAAAAGTCACCTAGTACTCCAAGCTAGGAAAACATGAATTAGTGAAATATGCATGATTTCTAACTATGTTAAGTGTTTAATGCAACACATGCAATATGCAATTAATAGGTTCGGCTACTAATATGACATATGGGTTAATTTGATAACATGCAGTTAAACACGTTTTTAAAGAAGATATTGAAATAACAATGCAGTTTGATGATGCGTTGAGCCTCGGTGCATGCAATACGAATGAATGGATGCAAGCATAAGGTATGCTAATTAAAACATGTCCCTAATCTAACCATCAAAAGCTAGTAAATAAAAGGGACAAAGACGTGAGGTTGGAAGACATACACGCACACACGCACACTTATTACAACATTACGCCCTCGCGAAGGTGGGTCCGAATGAAACTAGCTAAATTACACTACTTAACTAATTATTACAACACTTGGAATGAATTAACTAACTATTCTAAGCTAATTAATTAAAACAATTAAATAATTAACTATCTAAGCTAATTAAATATTACAAAGCAAACTAATTAGCTAAATACTTAACTAATTAATTACAAAGCAACTAAGCTAATTAATTACAATATGAATTAATTAACTACTCTACTTAAATAATTACAACATTAGTTGTTTAGCTACAACTAATTAACTAATCAATTTAAACAAATAGTCCCGGGAGGCAAGGGATACCCAATGCATGATAGGTTTCCACCCGAAGAACGCCCACTGTTTTGCTTCCAATTGCCTCTGTTACACACCCTATGCACTAGTTTTCCTTCTCCAGATCAACTCTGCTCTGCTTGACAAGCTTTTTGCCAAATTTTCATTGGTGGCCGGCAGGCCAGAAGTGGTGGCCGGCTGGCCACTAACAAGGGGTGCTGTCCAACAGTGGTGGCCTACTATTGGCCAACAGGCCACTGATGATGCTCCTTTTTTGCCGCAACAGAGAGCAAACAGGGCAAAGAAGAGGCATTCTCACAGGTTGTACTATGTATCACCCCTTATCATCAACACAAGCTCAAATGAGTGATACATTTTGCCCTCAAACCATCAATCAAGCAATTTCCATGCATGATGGCTAAGGGACCAAATTGTATAAGTTTAATGAGTGCAAAACAAGACTCAAGTGCCATAACCTTATCATGCATGATCAAGGGCAATGGAGACCTAGGAAAGTGGCACATTTAATCACTTTTGAGTATGAAATGTCCCATTTTTCTTGTGTTCAAATTAATGTCCGATTTGAACACATGCAATGCAACACAAAGAATACTTATCTTGCCACTTTTACTTGCCAATTTTGTTTACACATTTTAATTACCGAATCATCATTTAATCAATTTGTCCATTGGTAAGTGTCCTCTAAGATGAAAGAAGTGTCAACTAAGGGATAATGTAAGGCAAGAAAGAGATCATGCTGTTGATAATGAATGCTCAAAGAGGATTAAACCATTAAGCATGACCTCAATCTCAAGCTTAAAGGATCCCAAGCTTGAAACAACCCTCAAAAGCAAATAAAGAGTGAAAAAATGAGGGAGGTTGCAGAGCTTTAGGTGCTGATATGAAGTGAGAAAAGCATTAAAACATGCAAACAATTCAAACAAGGAGTGTCTAATGGCCTAAAACACCAAGCTTGTGAGGACTATTGCACTACAACTATGCAATACAAGACCTAAATGACTTAACCAGCCAAAAATAGAGCTACAATAGTCCAAAAATAAAGTTACAACAGTCCAAAAAAGAGCCTAAATCATGATGGAATTAAGCTACAAATTGCTAGAAAAATAGGCTAACACATAGAGTTATGTAGGCTAGCAAACAAGACACAAGGAGAGGAGGCTAACCTTCCAATTTTGGATTTCAAAACATGTTTTTTGCCACTGAAAATACTTTGAATTTCAGTGCTCAAAGGCCCAAAAAAAAGATGATTTGAAAATGGGAAATAAAGGTGAAAAAGCCTTGGAGACAAGGAATAAAGAAGGTTGAGAAACCCCTCTAACCTTGAGTGGCCTAAAACACCAATTTCAGCCCACAAAAACAGAGTTTTTAATGACTCAAAAATAGCCCAAAAATAGTTGAAAGAGATGGAAAAACAAGTATGCAAAACAAGTGCAAAAGGGAAGTGTTATACCTCTTGAAGCAAGCAACAATTTTAGGCACAAATTCAAGTCAAAAACACCTTCTAAAGCTCCAAGAAGTCTTCAAAGGACCTCATCTCAAAGATGAACAACTTTTGTTAAGGAGGTATAGGCAAAAGTGTAGTATATCTAAGCTAATGTGCACAATTTTGCACAAGAGAGAGAGAGAGAGAGAGAGAGAGAGATTTAGAGAGAGAGACTCCCAAAATTTTGCTAACCTTGAAAAATGAGAGATAGGTCACCTATATATAGCAAACAAGAGCCTCAGGTCGAAAATATCATCAAATGGACAGTTGGAACTTTGTGCAAACAGTTGGAGATAAATATCTGCAAAATCTGAGTTTTTTTTACACCAGTGGCCGGTAGGCCACCAATGATGGGCGGCAGGCCCACTGGTGGCCGGCAAGCAAAAAATTGGTTTTTTGCCCAACCTCAAACAGGCATATCTCCTATGTCCAAACTCCGTTTCAGGTCATTCTTAAGTCTAAATTGAGGCTCCGGAAGTCTATTTTCCAATGGTGGCAGCCTTACATCAAAATTCCAAGTGTACAAAAAGATATGCCTATTTTAGTAAAGACTGCTCAGTTTTGGTCCTAACCGGATTGATGCCTAACTTCTCCTCAACTAGTTTTCTTCCCTCCCCTCCTATTTTTTTCAACTCCAAACCTCTAAATAAGGTGTTGTGAAATATTTTTCAAAGAGTTCACCACTCTTTCATTTATTTCCACTTTGTCCTTGCTCGAAACGTGTAACATTTAATGAAATGCGAGCCTCGAAACATCGTAGAAATATTTTCAAAAATATTTTGAAACAGAGGTTTTTAAGGTCTAAAATAATTTTGGTCAAAATAGTTTTGGTCCAAAAAAAGGGGTGTGAGGTTGGGGTTTGAAGCTCTTTTTGTCGAAGAAATCGAACCTTTGCACAACTTTCATCATCGAGTGATCAATTTGAGGTGCCCAAGTCTTAAGGGCGGTAAAAAATGGGGTGTTTATAGTTACCCCTCTTTGACAAAGCTCAAAGTCATGAAATGACGTGAGTGAAGGTCAAAGCTCGAAGACGACCCAGCTTGACAAGGTCGTAAAACTTGGGCAAACAAACAAAATGCAGATGCAGTTAGTTGAACCAGAGGGTTCCCTACATATCCCGTTGCAAAGAATTAAACCAGTGTAGTTCAGGGGCAGGATATAAATGATCTACACAATGCAAAGCAGTTTGAAAGTTGGACTCACACGCTACGCGAAGTCAACTATTTTGAAAAACCTTATGATTATGCGAGATGATGCAATAAACAATAACAGATGAAATAAGCAAGATAACAACATATGAATGAGCAGCTTCAAGCTTTGATGCAAAAAGCTGTAAGACAAACTTCAATCATGCCAAAACACAAGACGAGGAAAGAAAACACCGCTCAGGGTAAACTGAGAATCGAAAATCGTTCGAGGTCGCGTTTCACGCGCCCGAGATAAAGCACGCCCAAGCTCGCGCATCATGTGTCCTGAGATACTCTAATCACGCTGAAATCGTGAGAAGATGAGAAAAGCCACTTGGGTTCGTACTTCACGCGTCCTGAAATGAAACACATCCAGGGTCGTGCTTCACATGTCCTAAGATAAATTCCAAACAAGCTGAAGTTGTATGAGGAAAGGAACACTCTAACCATGCTAAAACCGTGAGAAGAGGTTCTAAGCAAACCCTCAAGAGTGCATTCCACGCATCCCGAGATAAAATCCAAACACACTGAAATCATGTGAGGAAAAGGGCACTCTAACCACGCTGAAATTGTGAGAAGAGTTCCAAAAAAAAACCAATCAAGGGTGCGTTCCACGCACCCT